AGAACAATATATGCATCCTCCTTCTAACTGACGAAGGCTATGAAAGCTAGGTACAGACTTAAGGAGAGGCCTTTTGTCACTGCAGGGCTATCATAAACGTTCAATGAACTGACATACATTTTTAAGTGATTCAAAAGATGTCTGAATAAGTTGCTAAAAAGAATGGGGAAGAAATAGCCCCCTGATATCACACACTCATAATCAGGGAACCTTACATTAGTCTACTAACAGGGGCTGACTTTCAGCTGACCTGACCTATGGTTCAGATCAGCAGCAACAGATACAGATACATCTTTGATCCTCAGCTGACAAGAGCCAACCATGGGTACGTTTGCAGCATAAAAGTGAATAAGCAGGATAAATCGTCTCCCTTAATGAATTTCTATCCTGCCGCAGCATTTGTCAACATTGAAATTACATTATAGTCCTGTTTTATTTAGTCAGAGGCCATGGCAACAGTCTGCATCCTGTTTTACATCCTTTAAATTAAATACAACCTGTGTATTGAAGGTCTGATTTAAATATATCTATGCTAAAGCTCTCACATGCAGTTAAAGATAGACTGCATGGGAACCTGGTTCAGGACAAAACATTAGACTACTTTATGGCTCATATGTTTAAGTTCCAGATGTTACCTTGTTGCTTTATCTTAAACAATTCCTGGACTTTTAGGCTCTGCCCTTAAGACTTTTACTAAAGATACATGGTTGTAGCTGCAAGAAATCTATCAAACACTTTTTTTTGTTTACTATTTTGACTCTAATTGTGGTCATGTTCCAGCCACAACTTATACTCATTTTATATCTCACTTAAAGAAACAAACAGGAGACACAAATTCGAGGAAAATTCCCAGGACTTCTTTTTATTAAGAGAATTTTAGAACATAAGAGAGGGACCAGACACCTGCATTTGTCAAGAGAAGGTTTCCAAATTCAATTGTTTAAAAAAACCAGAGTGTTTAGAAAAGCCGACATGACAGCGTGGATGGAGCAGGAGCTGTTTTACACGCAGGGTCGTCGAGGAGACAGGTCGGAGGCAATCACTGTTCCCGGAATGTTTCACATGTTCATCTTCCTCTTTCTTATGGACAACACACTTCAACACGCTTTTTTTTTTAACACGATTTCAATGAAAAAAAAAAAAAAAATACAAGAGACAGAAGCAAAAGGGAACTCACTGCACATTTAGAGGTCTAAAAGAATCACCCACATTAACATGGCTGAACCATTAATAAAACATGGATAAAGGCTGAACTGTAAGGGGGGGTGTCTAATCTGTGGAGGGAGAAGAGGGGAGGGGAGATCAGGGAAGGAGGAAAAAACACAGGAGTACACACTTCACAACATAGCCAATCCGGCAGGGACGCACTTTCTACACCACACAAGCCTTCAACAATCATGAAATGCCATTTAAAAAAGATTTTAGTGTGTTCATCTTGCTTGCAGACACTTGATATGACCACTGCAAATCTGCAAGGCGCTCCATAATCAGCTTTGCTTTTTGTGCTAAAAATCTGTACGGATACTTATAAAATCATTGATAAAAATATTCCTCTGTTAACAATACGCCTTGGAGGGAAACCATGTGAGAGACTTGGGGGGGCTGGCTGGCTGGTTGGGGGCTCAGGGGGGGAGGGGAGAAGGGATTGTAAAGGAGGAGGAAGATTGGGCAGTGGTGCTACTCGGACTTGGCCTCCTCCTTGGCCTCCTCAGGGGCTGCCTCCACCTGTAGGGATGAAGTAGAGAAGACCAAGGTCAAAACTTTTTGAAAGCCCTGAGTTGATAACTTCTCCTGCCGGTGAGAACTTTTGGTTTCGGGTCACCTACCTCGTTGGTCTTGGCCTCTCCGTTCTCAGAGTGGTTTTCCTCGTTAGCCTCGGCCTCTGCGTTCTCCTTCGCCTTCTTGGTCTTCTTGTCCTCCTTCTTATCGTTCACAGCCTTCTCCTTCTGCAAAGGTTCCAGAAAAAAGAAGCGGTTTAGAGGTTTGTTTTTTTTAAATACTCACACATCACTCTTGGTCTTCTGCTTTTTTTGGTTCAAACGACTAAATAATGAGAGCTGGAATGACTGACCTTTGTTGCCTTCTTGGCCTTTGGTTCCGGTCTGGGCACATCCGTTTTCTGTGATTTTAAAAAGAAAACATGAACATGAACATTTTTAACAACCTACTCGACTTTTGGCTCCTTTATGGAAACTTTTTAATTGCTGTTAAGGAATCTAACTCTGAAGTGTTTCCTGCCAGAAACGTATTTGAACTGATAAATAGTTTGCAAGGTGGCCCCAAACTGGATTCATTAAGGGATTAAGAGGCTCAAATTAAAACCTGTAATAGTCTATATTACACTAACAATGAATAATTAGCTGGTGTTGTATCATCCCTACACTTCAGTTTCAGTAATATCTCTTTAAAGTGTTTAATTTGTGTTATTAGGTAAACACATTATATTCAGGCAGGCTCTGTCAGCCTCATTAGTACACAGGGCACTACTTATATATTCTGAACAACTTCAGAGGATCATTATTTAATGCTGACATCTTTACTGTTTTTAAAGAGAATATTGCTATATATATTTAATATCATCAAGCGGGATAATTGATTTCCACGTTTGTTTTTGTTCCTCTAACAGTAAAGTACTGAGTTTGTGATTCATCAGGTGTGGGACTCGTTTAAAACTTTCTATCACGTTTAACACGCTCATCATCTGATTGTGTTCATGTAAATAAGTCTGATGTGTCTGCTTACCGTCTTTAGCCGAGCGGATCTCCTCGTGGGCTGAAAAACAACAACACAGATTGTGAACAGAGGTTGTTTTTTTCCCCCCTCATATTGATTGGCATTGTATTCAAGAGAAACACATTTGAATCCACACTGAAGAACTTTCTTCCAGATAATCCCATCACATCTCACAAACACTGTTTTAATCACATGTGCGAGCTGTGTCTTCCCATGCCCCTTCTTACCTCCTCCTTCTCTGCTCCTTCTGCTCCCTGACACAGAAAAACACAAATGAGACGTGTTAGAAACAGAAACACTGAAAATGAGCATTATTAGGGTTTATGGTGTGCTTATAGAACAAACAAACACTTATTAAATGCTTTGGGGGCATATTATGGATAATTGCCAATCTGCTGAAAAAACTTTTCAGTTTCATGTGAAAACTAAAATTTATTTCAAATACAGCTCATTTAAAAGGAATACTGCCCAGAAGTTAAGGGCAGATGCAGGATTTCATGAGCAGGCTGTGAGAGCTCAGCCATGTGGGCCTCTGGAGCCATATTTTGAGGGCCCAGGCCCTGCTTTTCTCTTTCACTCCCCCATCTCTTTCTCTCATTCAATGCATGAAGCTCAGATTTGAAAGCTGGCGCGGGAGTCTCAGAGAAGGGGGAGGGACCTGCTTAAGGCTCAGGAGCGCCATCTGGCTGCAGAGCCACGCTACAGCAGCCATTTGGGACTATGAACAAAGAGGGAAAATATACAATTTTATCGAAACGCGACGGCGAATGTTTGTTTTTGCGGCCAAAATGCAAAGTAAAGACACCAAAGCATTTTCTGCTGGCACTTTGGGCCGGTTTGGTGGCGAAATGGCGATAAGCGAAGCGTTTGTTCTCGGTAGGTCGGCGATGAAGGTGGACAAGAGCTGCAAAGCATGGCTGCTGCTTGTGCTTTAACTGCATGGAGACCGAAAAAGACTTCTGACTCCCCAAAGGACAGCGGCTCAACGGAGAAAACGCATTTTATAGGCCGTGTCCGAGCGGGAAAATATTCATTCTAACACACAAAAAATGTACATTATATATAGAAAATAGGCAAAAATTCCCAGCTACCTAGAAGATTTATACATGGCGTTATAATTAAGTAATGTCTCCTAGGGATGTCTTCATAACGGTTTGCATTGCATTAATAGCTTGAAATCCCTCTAAACAATTTTTGTTATTTTGAAAATACGTACCTTTCTCTTGGGCATGTTGATCTCTTGGAGGTTTTCTTACAAATTCAACTAAAAACTGTTTTTCTTAGTGGGTTCGGTGCATGTGAAGACGAGTGTCTCCCTTATGCTCGGCAGTGTAGTAAACACACTGGAACAGAGAGGCGAGTGGTTGAATGGGGGAGGGGTGCGGCTAAAGGCATGATTGATAGGCTCTCGGCCAATCAGGTGACGCCATTCTGGGCTGCAGAACACTTGGAATTTTGGAGCCGGTGATGATCTGGGGGTCTGCGCGAATGGCTTCTTGCAGGGAGAGATGGGAGGAAGCCTGCAAGAATGAAAGGATTGCATTCGAGGACATGTTGCCTTCATGCCAGTGTGTTAAAATACAGTAAGAAAGATGAGCCGTCATGCTGCACCGTTAAACAGGCCCCCGGTGGCAGGCGGCATGGCCCCGGTGTAAAAGCCATGCACGTATGCTGGCTCTTCTTGAACCAGGGCTCACATCTGCAAACGGGCAACAAGGAGCAATCACACCATAAATTCACTTCAGTGTATCAGTCCAATATGGCGCCCACTCTTCTCCGACACATTTTTTTTTTTTTTTGTTTGTCAGTCGGCTTTCCTAAATTCGCTTCAGAGAAAAGCCTGCGTCGTCTGCCCCAGACGCCTGCAGGGGGCCCACAAAGCTCGTCTAATGATGTGGCTGCACAAGACGGGCGCTTCAGTTTACTGTGTTGTTACACAAAGCAACCCAAACGAGCAGTGTTCAAAATCACAGTAAATTGTGATTTGTCTTCACCCGCTGTTCATAAAACCAACCCAGTTTTTAAATTAACACCTGCAACGGTGCACATATGCAGTGCTAAAAAGAACAATGGCCAATGTCTGGTCCCACACAAAGGGGACACTGCTGAAATATTCAGACATATCACCCTATCTTCTTGCCATCACGATAGGCCCATTACCTCCCTATGCGCGCACGTAGAGAGAGAGAGAGAGAGAGAGAGAGAGAGAGAGAGAGAGGGAGAGAAAGACTAGAAGGGGCGGGGTGCAGGGTAGAGGCGGAGGAGGAATGCAAAGCTTCATCCAGTGCAGAGAACTGGAGCATTTGCGTAGACAGTCTGCGCTGCCTCTAACGGACACACGGCGATTTCAACCGGTGAAGTTTGTTGTTATTGCTTTTTCGTCCCGCTCCCGATCAATCCGCCTGCAAAGCGTCAACAAGGAGTAAGGACGACCAACCACTGCCTGCCAGACTTGTGTCATCATCAGGGATTTAAGCATGGTGATCAAAGTGTACATAGCATCGTCCTCTGGATCTACTTCGGTAAGAGAGTAAATCATCAAATTGTTCTTTCTAAGGCGATGTGAGGTTTTAGCTGGATTGCATGTGCAGCATCCAGTGCTTGTTTGGCTGAACTTTTTTTGAACTCACTTATTACTGATGTCCACACGGCTGTCATCCTCAGTCTGAAGTGGTCTGACTCATCAGTAAGCATGCTGCTCTGCCCTCCCCAAGACTTCTTTGGACACAGATAGGGACTCAGTGTATTTAGCTCTCCCTCTCTTTGCTGTCTTTAACTGCAAACAGAAAAGGAGGCAGAGAGTAAGTGTGAGGGTTGGTGGTTAGTGAGTAGGGCACACATCTCTCTAGCTGTGGTTTATTGTCACAGACAGTGTTTCCTAAAGTGACAGCTTGGTGCTTTTGCAACTGAAATAAGGCTGAGAAACTGGAAATGTATGCAGCAAAAATCGATGAAAGTTCCTCAAGTGTTCTGTTGTGTCACCTGATACCAGGGCTGGGTGGTTTGCAATAGTTTGATCTTGCACTAGAAAAGTAGAGTCTTGAGTGTTGCCTTCACTGTCCTGTAGCTCAGAGGACCTTGAGCTACACTTTTTCAGACTTCTTTCAGAGTGGAGAGGAATGATGGTGATGCAATTCTCCAGGGCCCTCTATTAGACCTGCAGCTGTAGCTCAGTACACTTAGGTTCTGTTTAGGACTTGTTGGAGGTCTGTGTTTGTAGGAACATACAACTTTATGCAACTAAAGTGCACTGACACTGGAATTTTTATGATGAAATGTTCATTGTTCAGAGATACTTTGGATTCTCAACATTCTTAAACAAGAAATGCAAAATATTTATTTTCACTCAGGGAGTCCCAAATGTGAAAGTTTGAAAGTAAAGGCATAGCAATTGAAACCAGTAAATCTTTTCTCAGAGTTGAACAACTCATAATTTCTTCTTATTTATTATTATTAGATATTAAGTTCATTTGAAAGGTGTGTGATAAATCGATTCAAAAGTGTCAAGATTCACATCGGTACTCTGAGAAATGAATCGCAATAATATGGTGAGCGTCAGCAGCTACAGAGCAAGATTTTCAAATTGAGGACGCACTACCGTCTTTTAAATCGGAGGTGTGGAAGCATTTTGGCTTCCCCAAGACAGACAATGAAAGAGGTGAGAAGATTACAGACGAGACAACAACTGTGTGCAGATATTGTAAGAAGACAGAGAACTACACAAATAACACAACCGACATGATGCAGCATTTAATCGCCCCTTGTTGCGAGAAAAAAAAAAAACATTGCTGGTCAAACCACGCTGACAAGTGGGTTTGCAGCACCTAAAGGAATCTTTCTCAGTCAAAATGTGTCTACAGTCTCATTTTGTAAATTAAATCGTGAGAGTATCTTATCGTGAATCATATCGTGGTTGAGTGAATCGTTACATATATTCAGTAGCAATGTTAGCATGCATTCTAATTGGGTCCCTCTTCCTGGGCTCATCACCACCAGATCCACACTCCCAAATGCAGGACACAGGCGTGTACTTTTACTGCTTGTACCTAAACTGTAAGCTACCTTAGAATATTACACTTAAAAAGCTGATACTTAAGAAAGCTAGCTCAAGCTAACCAGTGAAAGCCATCCCATGGTTGACCCTCGTTTTGGAACGAGTTGGACAGTTGGACAGCACGAGTATCTTTATCACCTTCATGGTAAATGACATTTGAGAAAGCTCAGCAGTGATCCTACAGGACAGGAGCGACCTGTAAAGACAGAGCAGTCTAAGCTTTAGAGCAAATGATGCCATCACTTTGCTGGATCCTGTCTGGGAAAATGCATTACTTCTCATTGATCTGCCTCTAGTAGAGTCTGCCAGAACAAGTGGACACACTTATGTCCTCTTAAATGCTGCACTCACAGTCATAGATTATTATTATTATTATTTTTAACAATTATCTGTATTCTATTTTTTCTGAAATTAAAAGTTTAATTCTACATTATAGTGTTCTTAATGCCTCCTTTATCTTCCACTCCACTGTGATCACTAATTTGTGTTTTTTAGATTAAGATATAAGAAATGTCTTCCCATTGTAAAGTGTATACAGCCTCAAGGACTCAATGTTTAATTGGCATAGTGTTCATGTTAGAATCTGTAATGTTCAACATAAATAGGAGCAGTAAAAGACATTCAGAGTGGTGAAAAGCTGCACAGTGACAAGGTGTAGTAGTTACCCTCTGTCTTACAGCTTACAGTTTGATTGCATCAGTGACTACCAAACAATGTGATTGCATTCCCCTGTCCAGCAGCGTCTGCTTCCCCTCTAATCACATCAGTTCACTGAGAGACAAAAACTGGGGCGACAAGTAGGAGAACTCAGAGCATTGCTCCACTTAACCAGACGATAATATGTTGTAAAGGCATACCGTTCTGTTCTATTTGCACATATTCTGCTTTTAATGTGAATTCATTTGATGGTCAGTCTGATTTAGATGACAGAAAGATGTAAGCAACTCCCACAGTACGGCTTGTAAACATCGTCAGAAGCATTTTTTAGGTTTAATGGACTCTAAGTCTTTACTATCTGATACAAAGCAACCACACCTCATATTCAAAAAGATGCGTGTACATGGAAGTTGAAGAGAAGTAAAGTATGATAATGACAGACAATGAACACATGAGGGGAGTTGTGTTAACACAAAGGTTCCTTCTTTTTTTCCCATTTGCATGGACAGTGAATAGATTAGGTTGAGTGTGCCCAAAGGCTCTTTCTCCACAAGTGCACTTAATGTACCCTGAACAAATGTCATCTTTGTATAACTTTGTAACTGTAGTTTGAAGAGGAATACATAATCTAAAACCCTCACATATTATCATCGTGCTGAACCTGAACCTTTGTCACATAAAAAGATAATTTCTTAAAAAGATTGTTTCCAGTCTGCTCCATAGCTTATGGTCCCCTAAGCAAAGCACTGATTGCTAGTTTAGCCACTCGCCGACCCCTGACCTGTGCTGGTCTCTTGTGGAGGCTGGTATATCTCCTAAATGACTGAGAGGTGACATCATTGTATTTGCAGCCAGTAATGAGAAGCAGAGTGTTTGAGTCACCTGAAGAAATGGTGTTGTGACTCGCTGTTAATCCTCCAGAGAGCCTATAGTGTTACCAGCAGCGGCTTTGTAAAGATTAGGTCATGCCATTTACCTACCGCATGCTAACCTTAGCTGTGATGCTACCTTTGTGTGGTGTTTGCACACATGTTAGAAAGTATATGCTTATAGTACCTGGTACCTAAAGGTTACCATGAGGCCATGTTTGACTAACAAACTAGTGTTTTCTTTTAACATCACACGTGTGAATGTACACATACACCTGTAGTAGGGCATCTACACTCCTGGGCATGAGGCCAGCGTGAAAGTAGTTTATGTCTGTGCAAAGAGCCCAAACATTGGCCAGAACCGAGACACATTTACTACCTCCTTCCCCTTGAAACACTACAGCCTCACTATTGTTTGAAGTTTCTCATTTCCTCATTGCCACAGTAAATGTTCTAAGAATCAGTGATAACGTTGCAAATTCTCTTTTAGTGTGTACAGTAAACAGATAGTGTTTCAAAAAGTCATCGGTTCTCTGCTTCAGACTTATAGCTCTTCTTCAACTGCAGATTAAACTTTAGGGTCCAAAGGTCAGACTGTCTGTTACGCACTGCTACACTCGGTCACTTTGTGTGTCACATAGATTACATTATTGGTGTTTCTGCAGTTGTTTTTTTTTCCACCTTTGGGCAGCAGTGTGGGAACCCAGCCAGAGTATTACTGTAAGGCTCTTTGGTAACAATGTTGTAATGCTGACTGATCTCAGGATTGGGTGGAGGCCACTGGTGCTGCTAAAATTCCTGAGTGGCATATTTTAATGCAAAAACCAACTTGGTTTGATCAAGACAAAACCGTCATTCCTTACAAACACAAAGGGGGAAAGGATTAACTGATGTTTCAGATTGGTGGATTTATTTCATTCAGATGTTGGACTGAGCATTACAAACATCATTTAGTCTTTCATGTAAGAAGAATTTTGGACAAATTCTATTCAAACTAATTTTCCTTTGAAGAATTGAAAACAAAATGATCCCAACCCCATGTCCACTGACCGGTCTATGCCGTATTGATCTACCCCTGTGTTGTTGATACAGTGCATCCAATCAATTCCTTCTGCCATTGCCGGGCAAGTTCCACCCTTTTTTTCAGGGATTGATCTGGTCTGGATTTGGTCTCGTTGCTCTGACACAGCTCTCACATGATGATGATGTGGAATGTAAACTAAAGAGCATAGGTTTCAAATTCCTTATTTCCTTTCTTTGGTTTCCCTTGGAGTCATTAAAACGATAAGTGCAATAATAAATATGATTTACTGTAACAATCCCTGATTGTTTATATGTTATGATCCCATAGTTTTATTAATAAATACTTTGGTAATCATCTTTCCTACTGTAGTGGCCACACTGCATCGTCTTATGATTGTTGCAGTTCTTCCATGGGCATGTACGTGGACTATCATTGTAATGTGATAACATTAGAGCTAGGTCAGTGCTGATAAATTATCATTATAAAGTGAAAACATGTAAGTCAAATCGTACTTGTTTAATGTCGTCTCTGTATTGGCAACATTTAATTATGCGTATTCATTACACAACACTAACCCTGAATTTCTAAACCACATCTTCTACTGCACAGAAGATTGTTGGTCAAACTAGGCCTGAAAGCATGCTGGCTTAAATATTGCATAAAAGAAATTTGACATACTTTCTAATACTACATTAGACATATTTCATTTAGAAATATTTTAATCTGCTCAAGATTCTACAGCCATGCTTAAAGAACTGTACTGTTGGTATTTAGCATAAAATTAACCATTTTTACCAGTTTAGCATGCTAACATGTGCTAGTTAGCAATACTCACAAAGTACAGGTCTGATGATCATTAGTGATCAAGTTGTGTAGCTTGTGTGCAAGCTGTTGGTCGTCTTTCCCTTGGAAGGTCGGGGGTTTGATTCCCAGTTCCTGAAGCCACGTGTTGAGATGTTCTTGGGCTAGACAATTAACCCCAAATTACCCCTGCTTCTGCGTCAGCATGTGAATGTGTGCAAATGGAGAAGTGTGACCTGCGGTGTAACAATTGCTTAGAGTAGTTTAAAATCTAAGAAAGAACTATGCAAGCTCAAATCCATCAAAGTCTATTTAGGTTCTAATCCAATATGTTGTCAAAAAAAAAATTGCTAAAGTTATTATAATCCATCTCTTAAAGAAAAGATAAATGTCTGGTCTGTATTTGATGGTTATAAATCACATTTTGAAACATTTGTTCCAAAGACAGAAATGTCAACTTGACTGTGGAGGTAAAGGAAATGTAATTCAGTGTACCACAAATACAGTATGTCTGCTTCAAATGGTAAATGGACTTCAGCTTGTATTGAGCTTTTCTAGTCTTCTGACTATAAAGCGCTGAAAAGGTAGGCGTCCCACTTACCCCTATTCACTCACCGGTGGCAGTTGCTGCTATGTAATGTGTCCATCAGTATTAAATTATCAATTCATATAAATTCACGTGCTGCTAATGTAGCAGCAGGAGCACTAGTGGTGACGAAGACCGCCTATGGAGCTGGACACGTCGCAAAAACGAGGGCGCCGATCACTCACTGTTGGTCCAACTAGGACAGACTCACAATGATCTCCTTAGTGGGTCAGGGCCTTAAGTGTCTTGCCCAAGGACCACACATCGACATGTGGCTGCAGGAGCTGGGCATCGAACAGCCGACCATCCGATTTAGAGAGGATGGAATCACTGAGCCACAGCCGCCTCTTTATGGAAGTGCCAGAGGAAAAGTCTTGGAAGCACCAAAACCACAAGATACATCATCAGTGGACCATCAATGTCAGACCTACATTTCAAGGCTGTATACTTTATTTGATATTTAAACCTGGACTACAGAGGAGGATCATCTGTCGTTCAAATACTGCTATAGAGCCATGCAGCTAGTATGAGTAAAACCAATCAAGAGCTACTGCCTGATCTATAGACAAATCAAACACAGACACAACACCTGAACTGCTTTTGCATTTTGTTAAGCTCAGTGTCGGTATATATTTGCAAACCAAGACAAGCTATTTAGGTATGTTACGAGGGAGCAGGAGATGAAAACTTGAGACCCAATAGTCCTGTTCATTGACTGTCTGCATACCAGACACTGGTTCATCACTCTCACTTGTGTCTTTCTCGTCGGAGTTGAGGAGAGATTTCATAACATTCCAGGGAGATATACTGTAGATACGGGAATTATTCAAGGCAAGAGAAGGCTAGTTGTTTATTACCCCACCCAGAGCCAGGAACTGAGTTTCTTTTCACCAGGCGCTCCACTCAAGACACTAAGGAGCAATGCAAACGGCTGAACGGACCAAAACAGGGATTTCTCACGGTGCAATTAGAGTAAGAGGCAGATGGCTAGTGGCCAGTTTGACCTACAAATTAATTTTGCTTGGCAGCACTAAAACACAAGCTTGCTGGGGGATTGTGGAGTGAACCAATCGGAATTAGAAAAGAGGAGAAAGTGAATGGTTGTGTTTAAGTAAGAGTGTACGAGTAACTTTTTTTTTTTATGGGTGCACCATTAAGTGCCAGGACTGGGAGTCAAACCTGCGACCAGTGCGATGAGGATTGCAGCCTCTGTTAGTGAGGCGCCTGCTCTACCAACTGAGTTTAAGCAGCACCCTGTAACAGTACCATCTTAATACTTAGAGTCAGACTGTGCAGTTCCATCAGACAGAAGATTGTCTTTGTTTATTGACAGAGTGATTGAGGTTCCTTCGTCGTCCACTCTGTTGTTTTGTCCTGTGCTGGTTTCCAGAGCAGGCAGAGCTGTCTATAGGACTTTGAGCTCTGGATTGCGACTAAAGATTCAAATGGCAAGACGGTTGGTCAGCCGGCATTGTCAGCTCCCTCATTTCCATGCGCCGGTGTTGATTTTGAATTTGGCTGTGAAATAATCCACCTGTCTCATCTGAGTGCCAACATGCTGGGAGGAGCCATTTCACAGAGATGTGTCTGAACGGACAGGAAGACAAAAGCATGAATTATCATTCATAGCGCCATGTAATGACCTCACCATGTAGTGTATAGGGCTTACTGTGATTTTTAGGTGTGTGTATGTGCAGCTGAGGCTGGATGTGTGTGTCTCCTTCAGCAGGCCTTATTTGGCTTGTGTTTGACCAGTTACCTCCTCTCAAGTCCCAGAGGAGCTCTTGTTTCCGTCTGGCCTTGTACGGCCATCCTGCCTCTTACACACACCCGCTGAGACCTCATTGGACCACAATTTATTACTGTAAATCATACACACAGACACACACACACTAATATAAGCTGAAGCATATCTAGACTATTCCATCCATTCTGGAGGCTCTTTATTATGTTCTTGTGAGAGTTTGTGGGACAATATGTTCCAGTGTACTGTAACGCCTGACACTTTTTCCTGTTGGGTTGTAGAGTTGGTTATTTGCATCCTCAAAAGAGGAACGTCTGTAGTTTTGCATGAAGCAGAAAGGTCTAATTTAGAAGTGTCAGAGGTGAGACAGCTGTTAGACGTAATGTGCTAATACAACGCACTCGCCTCTGTGAAAACGGGTGCCTCTCAAAATCAATCACATCTGCTTAAAAACCATACAAATTGAGAAAGACAGCAAATAATTTTTTTGTGGGAGGTATGCTCGCTTACTTGTAAAAAGCACACAGGCTTGGACAATTACTACTATTTAAAATGCTTTCAAAATCCCTGTTTTAAACACTAATGTGACATTTCTTGTCAAAATTCAAGAAGGGTGATGATAGTCCAGACTTCAGAGGTGCCGACGTCATCACTATCTAGAGCTTTAATGAAGATGAAACACAATCTGTCCCTGCTCAGCCTTGCTGGAGTTCACTCTTGTCAATACTCGTGTATCACTTCATTCAGTTGTCACCAAATGAGCGGTAACTTAGTAACAGCGCAGCCAGGGATCTGTAAAGTGTAATTTCTCACAGCGAAGAAGTGTCATCATTTCTGCAGCAGACTGGTGGCAGTATGTTGAACTGAGGCCCTTCTGTTTGCTCATAAGTTTGAAGTTACCACAAGTCAAACTGACAACTTCCCCTCTATCACCCTCCTCCCCCTCCCTCCCTCATGCAGATTAAAAAGCAGCAGCAGGATGTGATGGGCTTCCTGGCGGCCAATAAGATCGAATTCGAGGAGTGTGACATCGCAGCCAACGAGGACAACAGGAAGTGGATGAGAGAGAATGTTCCGGAGGAGTCTCGGCCGACTACGGGGAACCCGCTCCCCCCACAGATATTTAATGAAAGCCAATATTGTGGGGTGAGGAACACGTGAACACACATCTTCTTAATGATTAACACAGTATTGTTCATAAAATTAAAGCAATACTCTGATAAGTCATACCTGCCCGATGTTGTTCCTTACACACACATCAAGCATGATGAGTTTCAGACATTTTTAGACAAAATACATTTTTAACTTAACTTATACATCACTGTGGGTACTCTGTGTGTGTAGCATATCTCTTGACTCAGTTTTACCAAAGCAATTAGCTAAAAATTTCACTTAGTTTATTTTACCTCATTGTTTTTTTTCACAGTGCAATATTGAAGTTTAAGCTCTCACAAGTCTTGTCATCTGTATGCACCTGTGCAGCATCCGTGTGTAGACAGAGTTAGCACAAATGAGTGAACATACAGTAGTTCATCACTTAGCAGGTAAAGAGCAAGTTTTAAATGTCAGGCATTGGTGGAGATGTAAACTGAGCTTACAGGCATGAGGTTAAAGGACTTTTATTGAACATACGGACAGCAGAATGTAAATGTTGCTCTGTGTCTGCTGTTTTGCTTTTAAACAGAAAGTTTGCTCGTACAGTAGGGAAGGCACCAACCGTCAATGCTAGCTTGCTCTGCTTCCCCTAGTGGTGAAATAAAAATGATGACAGCTTTACATTTCGCATTTGAGACACAAATGCATTCCTTAGCATTCAGAAAAATATCTCATGCATTTTATTGAATATGAGATGTAAAACCAGACATGTAAGAAGAAGATGAAACCAGGAGCTAGTAAACTTAGCATAGCCTGGACACACAGGAACACATCATGCCTGGTTTTATTCAACGGTTAAAAAAAAATCAGCTAAAGCTCAATTATAGCTTATCTGTACTAATCCATGACTATGTGTCTAAAAAGCGACAGAACAAAGAACGTAAATCATAGATTCCCCCCCCTCCCCCCCAGTTCATGTACGGATTATACAAATATCCATCCATTAATATCTATCCGGCTTATCTCTATGGGGGATGGAGCAGAAGGAGCTGCTGTTATTGGGTGAGAGGCGCAGTACATCCTTGAACAGGTGGCCTGTCAATCACAGAGCCAGTGCTACACAGTTTTAGCAGACCCCTTTGTCCAAAGTCACAGTACATTTGAGAGAAAGCACAACACAAGAAAGCATCTGGACCAGTGGTACTCAGCCAAAACATATTTCTGCAAGAGCCACAATCAAAAAAACTCTTTCTTTCCTGAAATATGTGTGGGAAACACAGTGACATGACATGCAAATAATAATTTCTGCTGACAGTGTTTCTCTTTTTTAAATAATTACTTTGGATTTTTTTTCTCCAAGTAGGACCTAAAAGAGCCACAACTAGTCCCAGATGAGCCACATGTGGCTCGAGAGCCTCGGGTTGAGTATCACTGATCTAGACAGTAGAAAACAATGTGAGTTAGTGCCAACATACCAACTCCACCCTGTCCAGCCAGGGATTCGAACCAAGAACCTACCTGCTATGATCAAGTCAAGTCAAGAAAACTTTATTGTCATTCATCCCAGACGAGGTACACAGCTGAACAAAATGTGGTTTCTCACAGAACAGGTACTAAGAAACAAAGAAAACGTAGAACAAGACTGTGAGGCAGGTGTGCTGCTGTTGGCTAGGATTTGAATGCAAATGAAAGCTCAATAATAGGAAGTGACGGCCCTTACAACAGCACGCCTGTGCAGCCCATTAAACAAACATATCATTTATAAATATGTGAGCTTTAGAGGTGCTAGTTGGCAGATACTCTAACCTTTGGACAGAGTCAAGCTAGCTTTTTCTCCTGCTCCCAGTACTTATTAGATCAAGTTAACCGTCACTTTGCTCCAGTTTAATATCGAACAGGCAGACATACTGGCATTGATCTTCTCCTCAGACTTTGCAGAAAGTTAAGGTTTATCTCAAAATATAAACCTATTCCTTTAAACATCATGTAGGAATATATACTCTGCAGCAGGGATGGGCAACTTTTATCACAGCAAGGGCCACATTTATTTAATTCTCACTGCCTGGGGGCCAAATTGTAGTACACAAGAACGATAACAGTCAATTTTATCTCAAACATATACCAGTGATTAAATATTATTATGGACATATTTCTGGTTTTCATGATTTCATGGCAGATTTTGTCAGGTTTTCTTTATGTTTCCAATTAACTGATATGTAAAAATTGACCTGAGGACCAAGTTGAGGGTTGATGGGGGCTGCATGTGGCCCCCGGGCCGCCAGTTGCCCACCCCTGCTCTACAGAATAGAGCAATCTGAAGAATTTTTAAAAAAAAAAGAAAATTATATGAAAAAATCAGAAAATTTCCCAGCGTGCAGTGGGCACAGGTTGTAGTACTTTCTCCTTGCTGCAGCCTCAGATATACTCTACCACTTACTTCCATTAGAAAGACAGAAGGGTCTTTAGGCTGGGTCCACTGAGGCATCACGCTGTGCGTCCAGTAGATGCCTGGGAGAGAAGTTGCACATTTTGGAAGGGCTTGTATTGAAAGTGACAGACAAAGAGAGAATAACATTTCCCAGGATACTTGCAGCTGTGTGTGGGAGAAAAGGAGTGAAAACAAAGGAATGAGAAGGAGCATGGGATCAACGACAGAGAGAGAGAGAGAAGTTAACAGGAATGAATGAATGTTTTAGCTTGTTTACTTTTGGCGACATTCTCATAGACAATACCCTCCTATCAGATTGACTACCGAGGCCTGTCCTTTGACAAATAACAAAACAGTGACAAAGGCTGTGTCCCACAAAGAGTTCTGCTTCAGTGCTGCTCACATTGTCGCCCTCAGGCGCTGATCCACAGCCTGAGTGATTTACATGCTCGTTCCTTGGGTTGGAGCAGCTGATCCTCTGGTGGGTTTTCCTCTCAAACTTTCTCTGTGTTTTCCTCTCTCTCAGAACTATGAGGCCTTCTTCGATGCCAGAGAGACAATGCCGTGTATGCATTTCTGGGTCTGACTGCTCCCCCGGGCTCAAAGGTAATCTCATGAACGCAAACACACACACTGGTGTCTGTCCTTTCTTTGAACTGCATTCCTCAAGCAGCTTTTGTGCCTAAATATATATTTATCCTCACGGTGTGATTTCATACAGAAAACACACATATTACATAACACATGTGTTGATGATATCCAAACACCCAAGCCGGCCTCTTCTGCTCTCTCGTGCAAATGTGTGCCTCCCCTCTGCCACAACAGGAACTGCAGGAAGGTGTGCCAGTTACCATAGAAACAGAGGGGTTTTCCTGTGTGCTGTGGCAGGGGATACACAAACCAATATCGTCCATTTTAATATAACACGCTGTCTTCCTTTTGTCTCTGTCTCTCTCCAGGAGGCCGAGGCTCTAGCAAAGAAAGCACAGCAGTAGCAGCTTTACATCGTTTCTACCTGATCCCTAAGGCCTAGACCTGGACCCAGACTAACCTGGAACTGATCCAGGAAAAAAAAAAGAAGAAGCAACATTTCACTCAGCTTATAAATATGTGGATGTTTTTTTTTTAATTTACTTTTCCAGTATGTTTTTTTTATTTTTTATTAATTTGTGTTAAAGCTGTGCCTTGCCAGATGTTGTGAATGGAGGTGCTTCAGCAGAGCATTATGGGTAACTTTTAAACTGCTCTGCTTTCTCCTATTAACCTCAGCCTGCCAGTCCTATTGGCCTAATGAAATGTCAATCAACCGTGAGCATCATTGTGTAGCCTCCTCCATCAGACAAAACTAAATATACACACACTGAAAATTGTTACCCAGATTCAGGATTTGGCCGACAGATTGGCGACTTTGTTCCTCATCATCACATTGCTTGAATCCATTAGGATTAATTCGTACTAGTGTTCGAATCCTGGAAACATTAAGTTCCATGTTGTGCTCCTGCCAGTCATGTTATCGCCAAAACTGCAGCACCTTGTTTGAAAGTTCACTTTTACAATTCCATTCTCTTTGTTTTTATTTACTTTGTAATGTCTTAATGCTGTTTTAATGGCAATCTTTTTATACAAAATGTTAAGAAATTATAGTACAAGCCAAAATGACAAGTCTGAAAACATGTGAGATGATGAAACACTTTGGTTTTTTTTTGGTTCTTGCATTTGTTTATAGGCGAGAGTGACGTCTGTTTTAGCTCAAAGCACCTTGTTTCACATTGTGTTGGTAACTCCTGTCTTACTTACATTGATACCTTCCCTTAAATAGAATTTAAAGAAAAGACTGCAATCCTCGCTCTCAGTGCACTGTGTTGGTTGTCATGAAGTAAGTTTCAATGACAGAGTCAAACTAAATTGGACTGAAATCTGCCTTCTCATGATATACTGTGTTTTTTTTAATGCACAATAAACGATATAAACTTTACAGAATCTGACTCATTTTTCATTGAACATTGAATTCATGAGTGGGTTTTTTCTGTTTCACATACTCTGGTTTACACTCTGTCATTGAGAGATATGCTCCTCACACACACATAGGCCATGAAATGTGGACATGCATAAGTGGAGAGATGTCAGAAAATGCTACGCAGGGAGCTCAAGGGCACCTTGACAGTACTCAGGAAGTGCCCTGGCACCTCTCCATCTACCAGACCAATGTTCATATTTCGGTCCGTGATGGGACTTGAGCGAGCGATCCTCCAGTTCCCAACCCAAGTCCCTACAGGCTGAGCTACTTCAGTCCCCCTTAATCCATTTAAAGATAGGAATGTTGTGAAAATGAGAGTAGGATATATATTCAAGACATCACTTCTTTTTAAGTTAGTCATTTCTTATTTGCTATATTCTAAAGATATACTCAAGCACATCATCAGACCATTTGGAATTTTTCTCAACATAGTTGAAAAGCAACTTAAGGTAGTATTTTTTTCAGGTAGTTTGTAGTCCATATTTTATACTTTTATTGCACCACAATTCAGAATTGTATATTTAACTCCATTTCATTAATGGGTCAGTTCAACCTACTCTCAAGATTGACATAAAACACAATAATCACAAAATCAACATCAGAGAACAAGATCACAATACAAAGAGTACTGTCACAGCAGTTTCCATCCAGCAGCTTTACCACTGAGGATTTGTAGATGTGGAAATGACATTTAACTAAAACATTTTCATGTTAGCATCGCTCTCTGCACTTTTTTAATTACTGACGACCAAAAAGGTTGTTGTTTTTGTATGAGCTTTTTCTTCTTTTTTCAATTCAATAAGCTTTATTGGCATGAATCTAAGAATGACGATACTACCAAAACATCATACATCAACCCATTATAATGATACAGTAATGATAGTAATAATTAATTCTGTCACAGTTTGAGTTTTAAAAAGAGATAGAGGACCCAATGCAGTCTAAAAAAAGTATTTCATTAAAGATGAAAGAGGCAAAACAAGCCTGGGTCTGTTGAAGGTGGCCATGCTGTTGGCAACTAAGGCAGGGGGACCATACATCCCGATTTGACCGGGACCATCCTGTTTTCAAGCTCTGTGACCCAAATCCCCAAAAATAACTATAAAACACCAATCTGTCACAGTTTTGAACATTGCCTGTCCCAGTGTTAACCAACCAAAACAATACACCATGTATAACACCAATATGGCTGTAAATGTCAAACTATGCTGTTGCCAAGGCTGTTGCTATTTTAACCAATAGAAAAAACATGACTAATCAAAAAACATAACTAATGGACCACGAGTCAAAGTTCAACACCAATTTGACTGTACATGTGTCAGTCAATCTCGGGGTTACAACTTTTGCTTCGCTAGCATAATTTACCTAACAGGACCTGCAGCGTAACAACAGGAAGGCTAGCTGTCATGCAAAAAAGGAAAGTCAGTGTTTTCAACAGATTCCTTCGAAAAGAGTACCAGCCAATGAACATGCTGCGTTTTGCACACACTGCAAGTGTACATATTCAGTCGCCCACGTTGGAAATGACGACATACAAACCATATTAAAATGAGCAAACACTGTGCTTACAGGCTGGAAGTAACAAGGTTGAGACCTACTTCAGTGAGGCATACGCTGCTGACAACCAACTTAAATAAGCTGTTCAGGAGGACACCTTTACCACGTTGTACGACCAGTGCAGGTCACTGATCTGTGGATCGATACACGTGGGTTTGCAGAAGAATTCAAGTGTCCCGATTTAGAGGTTTGAATATAAGGTCACCCTAGGGCCATAGGGTAGGTTATGTGACATATCTATAGGTCATACGCCAGGGGCAATATTGAGATGAAGGATGTTTTCACTTATCTTTTTATGAGGGTACAAGTACCTTGTGTTTATTTCAAATTCATCATGTTAACTATCAACACAAATCCGACTGCAGAAAAGCATTCTGCATGTGCTTTGTTTTTTTAGAAATTGAATTGTCTTTTTGACAATCGATTGTTGTGGGCGTCTTATTTATCCTGTGCACCTGCACACGTCACAATTGTACAAGCCTGACTAGTTAGTTTTGATGTAAGTCGTATTTGTTGCAGGTTGTGGTCTCACAAGTTGAAGCTGGTTCAAGCCAGGCCAACTCAAGTAAGGGATCGAAAAAGTTAAATGAAAAGTCCAACTCAAAATCAAGCAAACAAGAGGAAAATCAACTGGGAAGCCACAAGGTAAAAATCCACAAAACAAAAGACTTACTGGTAAAACAGAGTAGATTGATTGACTGATTAATTATTTCACTGCACTAGAGAAACAGAAAAATTCTGATCCTCAAGGTAACACATTTAGTTTCTCAGCTTGTGATGCATTTATCAGTCATTCAATCTTTATTTGTATAACATCTTGAGAGACTTTACAAACAGAGCAGGTAAAATAGCAACAGATTATTCTTACTGTTCTCTTTTCTCTGAACAGGGATTCTCAGAAAATATCAATAAAGGAAGTGTGTCTGTTGGGGGGGAGGGGCCAGTTCTCAGATGCAGAAATGAAACCGGCCAGCAAAACTTTATTTTTACATGCATGCACTCAGTGCCATTTTGCTTTCAGACAGACAATCAAACAGCTTAACGTTGGGTCAAAGAAGGAGAAAAGAAGAACAAAGTGCACCATGTTAGGTGAAGGTTTTCTCAGAGCTCTGCATTTCAGAGAGGAGAGAAAGTTCGACTCAGCCCCCAAGGTGAAGAGATCCCAGACACAAAACCATTTAACGGATCCATCGAGCTGCACCCTCTCAGAGTCAAGCTTGACAGACCAGCAGGCTGAGTCGACTGAAGCAGGTAAACCTTATTTAATGTTATCTAAAACAGTGCCAGGTTAAGATCTCTGCACCAGGTGTCATATTATAAACCATAACTTAACAAAGTGAACATCCCTCACTTCCCCTTTTATCAAAATGATATTTTTACTGCGACAACAAAGCAAATGAAATTGAAAGTATCTCCATTTCTTTCTTTTTTTTCAGGTCTTAACCAGGAGCAACCAGATTTTAACCAATTCCAGAGTCTAAAAGTGATACCTCAAGGTCTTTTAGGCCTCTCAATCCCTGGCTCTTCACCTTTCCCTGCGCCAAACCCTGACTTCATAGTTTGCTTAGATGATTGTAGCCTCCTTGAACAATATCCGGACCTGCAGGTGGCTGACTCGGGCCGCATCTCAAACAGCCAACTGAGAGCCGTCATCACCCAAGATTATGTGTCTGATGTCTCAAATCAGCCAGAATGGGCAGCCAAACAGGAGGCCCAAGGGCCTGTGACATCCATACCAGACCAGGGTTATCTGGTTATGGGGGACAGTGTGAACATCAGCTTGGATCTGTCGGGATCCGCATTGGAGCCCATGTCTAACTCAGTGCTGAATGGATTGCTGGACAAACAGCTGGAGGAGGTGTACATGCAGCATTTGACTGACAACTTGGCTCGATGTAACTCCCACCTTGGGAACAGCCTCCTACACGGCCTGGTGCCTCCGCCGCAGCCCAGCAGCCAGCGGCAGGGGCCTGACTCACTGGAGGTCACTCTGGAAAGAGGATCTGGTAGAGACAGCGACAGGAAAATCAGTTATCTGAGCACCCAGAACTTAATGCCCTGCTCGTCCAACTTCAGCTCCCCTGTGCTGAGGATTTCAGAGCCTGACAATACTTATCTGCAGTAAGTGCAGTCGTGCAAACATCCTTAAAGAATCGTTAGAGTGATTTTTTTAATGCTTCTTTTTCTTTCATTTCAAATATACCAACATTAAGACATGTTGTCGTAAACAATTCAGTGATCCAGTGCATGCCTATATTTATGATTTCATAATGCCTTTCTTACTCTGATTAAAATGTGCCTTATATTTACCTGCTCATATCTGCCACCTGCTGTAAGATTGTGGTACTACAACAACCTAAATAGAACTGACATACATCAGAACATTTTATAATAACATTATAAGTGGGAGAGTGCAAGCTATGTATTACACTGAAGCAAACTGTGATTCAATGTAAGCTGTGACTGCATATTGAAGCTGCCTTGTAAGAAACATGAAAAAGAATCCACCTGTTTTTCATCAAGTAAAATAAAGAAGTTTCCAAAGTGTATATTTGAAATCTTTATTTGAGTGTTAATTGTTAAAGTAAGTCTGATAATCAATGTTTGACAAGAGAAGGACATTAAAATTATTTTTGTTGTTCTTGCTAAATGATGGTGTGCTGAAGGAATAGGAAGAACTATGTATCCCAGATTCTACTTGTACTGATGGTAAAAAGGCTTTCCTGTTGCCCAACAAAGCACAGAGGCAAGACTTTCAAAAAATAGAGAGGTCAGTTAAGATCCCTCAGACTGGATGAGATTAAATGTTTTGGGATTTAATATCTGGATACATACACTTGACATGTAGAACCAAGTTGAGGAATCTTGAGCTTTGGCCTTTAAAAAAAAAAGTGCCACTCAAAAAGATCTATCTTTGAATGTTGAACCCAATATAACTCTCATAATAACACATTGTTTAAGAAATATATACAAATTTTGCCAGAGGGACTGGCAAGCAACCCATTTCTATACCTATCAAAACATTTTTACTTAAATAGACCATTTAAAACCAAATACTATGATAAAAATTAAAATTAGGGGCAAATAATGAGACAAAGACAGTCAACCATGTTTGTACATGAGAAGTAAATGACAAATGGACCTGAGCTTATATAGCACTTTTCTAGTCTTCTGACTACTCAAAGCGTGTTTACACCGCAAGTCATATCCACATTCACACACTGATGGTAGAGGCTGCTCTGTAATGTCTCCATCAGAAGTAACTAATTCCATTCATACGCCGCAGACATAGCAGTGGGAGCAACTTGGTGTTAAGTGTCTTGCCCAAGGACACATCGGACATGTGGGTGCAGCAGCTGGGGATTGAACCTCTGACCTTCCTGCTGAGAGACTACTCTACCATCTGAGCCACAGCCGCACACAGAAGTTCATTACATTCTCAGGTATGAGTAGGACAGCACAATGTTGATTCTATTTAGGGTGCTTAGTTGTACTTAAAGTGACCTAGTCAAGATTCCCAGGTGTCCACGTCACAAAATGTGAATGGTAGAGATAATAAAGCATTAAAAACAAACTGAAACTACAAAATATAAACTCGCTCAGGGCATGATACATTCCTGTTCATGGTTTTCTTTAATGCTATGCACCACAGTGTGGCAGGCTCCACATTTGCACCATGTTGACTATTTGACAGGCTAAAGAGTCATCACACAACGAGGTCCAGCAAAACAAAGCAATAGTCTGACAATTTGTGATGCATTATGCTTGTTTGAGGTTGATTTGTGAGGGGATGGCAAATACACACAAACAGGCTCCTTACATCAATAATAATGATGATCCTTGAACATGCACTAAATCTTTTTTTAAAAACTGAATCTGTTTCCTTAATCCATTCAAAAAGATAGATAGATATTACCACAGGTTTGAGAGTGTCTTGTCAGTCTTTGTTACTTGCAGCGTCTTTCCAGAGATCAAACTGTTTTTAAAGCAAACTGATACAAAAATCGTCCTGACAAAACAGGAAGGAATATGTGAGTTAAGAGTTGTTGACAGTGCACACCACAAAGAAGAAAGTTCACAGCTGGACTGTACAGAATGAAACTGACATATGTTGAGTCTGCCCTCTCATAATAGTGAGCACAGTGCAACACTGACATGCCAGCACTCATACAAAAAGACAGAACAAAGACTCAAGACAAACTAATGATTCTTAAAATTTTAGACCCATCTGAAAATTGCCTTTTATTTTCAAACATTTTGAGAAATTGGTTTTAAAACAACTCTTAGAAGTCCAAAATAACAACAGTTTTGAGACATTTCTTATTGTTTGCGAAATCTGGTTTCCACAAACAACATCTCAGTTAAGGACAACTAATCATTTATTATTGGCTACTGACTCTGGTCACGTCTGGTGCTGCTTGACCTTAGCCTGGCTTTTGACACCAATAATCATGTGACTTCAATGAGTAGACTACAGGATTAGGTATGCATTTCTGGTACAGATCTGAACTGGTTTTCCTTCTATCTTTTAAACAAACAATGTCTGGTCGATTCTTTCATCTCTACTACTGCATAGACATCATGTAGTGTACCACAGGGCTCAATTCTTGGTCCACTTCTTTTTTCCCTGTACATACCCCTATAAGGTCAAATCATCGGTCATCATAACGTTTCATATTATAGTTAAGGTGATAACAAGTAACTGATTCTATCTTTCTTTCATCAACTTAGTAACATCTCAAAGATCAGAGGTCAATTTTCTCTTATAACAACACAGAAACAATTTTTAAATAGAAAATTGTAAGTTTCTGCTTTGAAAAACGAATGTATAATTGACATATGTATAAAAACCATCCGTGAATACAGACATCTTACCCTTACATCCATCCAGTCTGTTGTTGACCCACCTCTGGAACATCACAGGCCCCCCAGTTGATCCATGAGCTGTTGTCTTATCCAGCAAACAGTCCATTTAGTGTCAGACTGCAACACGTCAGTTGAGACCCAGGAATCGACATGTTCTAAGAAACCTTTTGTGACTTTGAACCCCATCCGTCATCCTTCTCTCTAAATCTGCCCTCCCTCAGATTTCTTTTTACAAACTCAGAATAGTATTGTTTTCCTCTCACACAATTTTAGAGTTATATAATACTATAGAATTAACTATTACCACTTCTACTTTGTGTTTGTATAGATGGACACACATGAGGATTTATGGAAAGATAAAAAGGTTGTAAACACTGCTTTTAAATAAACAGGGGCTGAAAAAAACAATCTTGATCTTGGCCTCGCTGATGGGAATGTGAGAACCTCCAGTGTGCAGGTCCATGCACAGGTGTAACAGTTCAAAATGCAAAGGGCTAGTAATAAAAAAGTTAAAATAAATATATATACATTAATAAATGTGGGTCGAGAAAACCATAAAGATGTGTATTTCTGTATCTATTTCATCATCCATTGTAAAAATAACATTTTGAGTCCTTCAAAGAATATAACTTATTTATCTTCTTTTTTTTGTATGGGTTTTCAACGTTAAACTTAGTAGAGTTTATTACTTAATAAATCATCAATCAACTAAGTTATTAAGTGGGAATCTGGGGTTTTCATTTGAACCATTTTATTGTAACATTTTTTACTTTGACTCGGTATGAACTTTAAGCTCTGAAAATTACATTTAAACAACTTAGAAAATGAATTTGAATATGTAACATACAATAATAACTTATTTAGGGAGTTGCCATGAACTCAAACATGTGTGTGTTTGTGTGTGTGTTATGCTGAGTGGCTGGTTGAATATCAGTGCTAGGTCAGGGATTCCTGTGCACATTAGTGGCTGCAGGAGTTTTTTGGTCAGGTTGTTTTTAGTGTGTGTGTGTGTGTGTGTGTGTGTGTGTGTGTGTGTGTGTGTGTGTCTGTGTGCGCGCGTGCGTGTGTGTGTGTGTGTGTGTGTGTGTGTGTCTGTGTGTGTGCTGCCAGCCCACCCCCTTTCTCTAAAACCCCTGTCCTATTCTCTCTCTCTCTCTCTCTCTCTCTCTCTCTCTCTCCTGTTCTCCCAGCATGGCTGCCAGATGGCTGCTATATGGACTCTCTCTTTCTACCTAGTCTGGCCTGCATGTTTGGCCCTGACCCCCCCTGCTGAGCTCCCTCATCCCCACAACCTGCCCCCTGAGCTGGGCTTGAACAGAAGTGATGGCAGCCTGTCTGTGGATCTGCCGCTGGCTCTGAGGGTTTTCAGCGTGGACTATCACCATGTGCAGGCTCCCTTTGAGATTGTGCTGTGGATCATGCTGGCCTCACTGGCCAAGCTGGGTAAGCTTTATTTGTCCTGATCACACATGAAAAGCCAACTTAAAATCATTTTATTATGGAGGTTTCAAATCAGAAGTTAACAAAAAAAGTCTTTATCACATATTTTATCAGTAACGTAATCTATTTGGTTTTGGAAATCATTTAAATTTCTGGATTCTGTTTTTAAAAACATTCCAGTTTAATACCCATTTATCCTTATAAAGGTAACACAATATATTTAGAATAGATGAAGAGAATATTTAACTATATCCTTGTCTGTGTAGCTGTATCAATAGAGAAAACAATCCTGAAGTTCAAAAAGTAAAATCTTTGTCTATCCTTCTCTTGTGTGTCTGACCTCCAGGTTTCCACTGGTCAGGTCGAGTCCCAGCTGTCGTCCCAGAGAGCTGTCTCCTCATCATGGTGGGCCTCCTGGTTGGAGGGGTGATCTACGGTGTCCGCCACTCAGCTCCTCCGACTCTCAGCGCTGATGCTTTCTTCCTCTTTCTGCTCCCGCCAATCGTCTTGGATGCAGGATACTTCTTACCAGGGAGGCTGTTTTTTGAAAACCTTGGCACCATACTCTGGTTGGTGTTCAATCAATGATTCAACTTTAATAAATGTGTTCATGCTTGAGCTCGTCTGTTGCAAAAAATGTTGGTTAGAGATTTGGGTTTTTGTTTCAATGTTAGATTAGTCAAGGTCAAGATTAAATTCCTGGCTTGGTTTTCAAATAGTCTATTCTAATATAAAAACCTTAAAAGCATAAACGCACAACGTAGCTCACATTTTCAACCCAACTTCAAGACAATTGATGAAACCTTGAAATAGTCAATCAGGAATATTTTGGACGAAACACAAATATTAAAGTAAAAATAACAAAATGAATGTATTATGGTTTTTATAGCCATGTTAGCAGCTCGGCTCAAGGGATGGCATGTTCCACTGCTTTGGTCAAGACTGAGATTTCTCAACAACCACTAAATGAATTGCCATGAAATGTTTTGCTTTGATAATCTGGCGCTCCATCATGCTGTTGCCAGGTCTAATGTGTCCAATATTTGATTAATGACCCGATGTTTTAGAAACTAGTGTAATACCTAACGATATATGCCTTTGTATATCGCTTATAAGTAAATGTTAGCACACTACCAGACTACTCAGAGGGTTACCATGGTTAAAGAACGTGTTAGTATCAGCATATTAACTTGTTATTGTCACTGGATCAGCTTTATGCTAACATACAGTTAGTGGAAAGTGAAAGTGGCCTGAAGAACCTGCAGAAAATCATCAGCAGTAACCCTCCCCTCTATGGAGTGTTTGTTCATTTTTATTTCCCACATCTCCATACACAATCATTGGTTTAGCCTCACTACTCTCATCAACAATATTTCCATACAACTGTTATTAGTCAAAAGCTCTGAAATATTTTCTCTACACAATTGCAAAGAAGCAAATAGCAGACGGCAGACAACATTTTCTACCTGATGTTGAACTCTTTTTAGCATTTACATTCAGTGGAGAGCAGAGAACCAAAAGGAGAGTAAAGACTGTGTTGGACTAACATTCATCAGGTATCCAGATGCTAAGTGGATGCTGATGTTTTTTTTTTACTGTTTCATACCTGCTGAATGCATTAACCAAGAACTGTTTAGTAATATGTATGCCATATAAACAAATGCATTAATGTATCAGCTTTGTTTTTAAAGCTAACTGTTCTTAATAAGTAACAAACAATGGTAATCAGCAGGTTTCAGCAGAAATCCAAGAATGATATCCAAAACATCTTGCTTCAAATGGTTTATGTATTCTTCCTTGTTATCTTAAATGGTAAATGGACTTGAGCTTGTATAGCACTTTTCTGGTCTTATGACTACTCAAAGTGCTTTTACACCGCATGTCACACCTACACATTAACACATTCACACACTGATGGTAGCAGTTTCTATGTAAAGTGACCATCAGATGTAATTTGGGGTTAAGTGACATCAGACATATGGCAGCAGGAGCTGGGGAACGAAAGTCCGACTCTACCAACTGAGCCACAGCCTCCTCATCTTAACATTTATCATTAACTTGTCAAGTTGTCTTTAAAACTCTGCTGCCTCTGTTTTACACTTCTCCAGGTATGCAGTATTGGGAACCTTGTGGAACGTTCTGGGCATCGGCCTGTCACTGTACGGTGTGTGTCTTCTGGCCCCGGACTCTCTGGGAGATTTGTCTCTGCTTCACTGCCTGCTGTTCGGCTCGCTGATCGCTGCCGTCGATCCCGTGGCCGTGCTGTCTGTATTCCAGGAGATGCACGTGAATGATCAGCTTCATATCCTGGTGTTTGGAGAGTCTCTGCTCAATGACGCCGTTACCGTGGTGAGAAGAGTGAGGTCACCATGCTGTCATAAAAAAGAAAAACTAAATAAACAATGATATTCTGTACATAATACGTTCTCTTTCTTTCAGGTGCTCTACAAGTTGTTTGAGTCGTTTCTCCGTCTGCCCTCAGTGTCAGGGCTGGATGTGTTCCTAGGGGGGTGTAGGGTGGTGGTGGTGGGCCTGGGTGGCCTGTTTGTGGGCCTCTTCTTTGGCCTGGTGGCAGCCCTCACCTCACGGTTCACCTCCAGAGCCCAAGTCATCGCCCCGCTCTTTGTCTTCCTCTACTCTTACCTGTCCTACCTGACCTCAGAGATGCTGCACCTTTCTGGTATCATGGCGTAAGCACTGGTTATTATATACCTAATATCTTTTCCTAATGTTAAGCCCAGCAACATCTGATGCTGTTTATATTTTTCTTCTTTCATCTTTTTGCAGCATTGTGACTTGTGCTGTGACCATGAAGCAGTATGTGGAGGCTAACGTGTCCGAGCGCAGCAACACCAGCATCCAGTACTTTCTGAAGATGTGGAGCAGCGTGAGTGAAACCCTGATCTTCATCTTCCTGGGCGTTTCCACGATACAGGACGTCCACATGTGGAGCTGGCCCTTTGTGTGCTCCACTCTGTTGCTCTGCCTCGTCTGGAGGGCCTCAGGTATACGCTCGCAAGATCTCCCACCAATGTACCAGAGATGGCTTGGAGTTTGATTAAAATAATGACATTGTCTTCCTCTGAAGGGGTTCTCCTGCTCACTGCTGTGGTTAACAAGCTGCGGAGAAACACGGTGACCTTTCGAGATCAGTTCATCATTGCCTATGGAGGCCTGAGAGGGGCAATCTGTTTCTCTCTCGTCTTCCTGATTGACGACTTCCCAAAGAAACGACTCTTCATTACAACCACCATCGTTGTCATCCTCTTCACTGTCTTTGTACAGGTGAGTATTTAACATACATTTTAAACTCTTATAGTTTTCTTCACTGAGTTATTGTTAGTTTGTTGAGTTTGATTGTTTGACTTCAGGGGATGACCATTAAGCCTCTTGTAGAGCTGCTGGATGTGAAGAGGAAGAAGAGAGCTCTGCCCACTGTCAGTGAGGAGATCCACAGCAGGGTGAGAGGTCAAGGTTCTCTTTATTATCAAGGTGCGAGAGGCCAATTTGTTTTGCAGTCAGCAATAAAATATATACTACCAGTAATCAGCATACAACATAGGAATGGACAATAAATAAATAAATATATACATAGGATTACACTATAAGGAGGCGCTAGGCCTGCATTGTGGTCTTTAAGGAGTACATTATTATTATTAGGACATGGTTTATTCCAGGTGTAGTTTGTCATCGTATCACTATCAATGTCTTTTTTAACACAATATCCATTGAGGTGAAACACGGTACACCACATCTGTTTGTGACATATACTTTGAATTACAATCTAATTTAAAAGTGCTCATCATGCTGTTTCACATTGTGTGTGTATGTGTCAAAATAATTTCCTAAAAGCATTACACACTAGAGTATAACAAGGGGTCTTCAAATGTACCCTTTACATATTCTCTATTCTCCACTTGATGTTTGTTTCAGAGTTAACGAGTACAATATGTTCTCCTCCATGAGAACAAACATGCAATATTAATTAGCTTATTTGTGTTCCTGTAAAATATATGAAATGGTCACCTTGCTCTGTAGCCTCCGTGAGTGAACAACAATCATTTCTACATTTGTGACTTCTTCTTTAATCCAACATGAAAGGTTTTCTCCTTTTTGTTGAATGTGCAGCATGGTCAAGAACAAACGACATGCTACACATTTAAAATAATTTTTAGAAAGGCTTTGATTTGAATTGACAAATGTATCAATTGTATACTCACATTGTGTTTCCCTTTAGCTCATTGATCACCTGCTGGCAGGGATAGAGGATGTGGTTGGCTACTGGGGTCAGCACTACTGGAAAGATAAGTAAGTTTTTCATTTTTTTACCTTTAACTTATCTTCTGCCCTCAGGTTTCTACCTATAAAAATGGGACCTAGAATCTCCAGTAGATGGCAGCAAATACCACATTCAGAAAATCTCTTGTCCACAGTTGAGACTCCTAACTGGCTACTGTAGTGTATCTGATTTGTGTGTTTTTGTGTGTGTGTTTGTGATGCATGTGTGTTTTTATTTGAGGTTTGAGCAGTTCAACAGGAAGTACCTCCGTCGTTTCCTAATCCGTGAGGATAATCAAGCTAGCTCCAGCATCCTCAGAGTTTACCAGGAGCTGGAGAGAAGGGAGCAGAGAGGGGACGAGGAGGCACCGTCAATGTGAGAACATGATTTCTTCTTAAAGCGCTCAGGGTCCAGAATTTAATGAAGGAAAGTCATATGATCACAGTCGTTCTCTTTGACGATTCAAATCCATATAAAAATAATTTTCCATTAATGCTGGACTCTGATTCAACACAACACGTTTGTGAGGGTGCTTTCAATCATTTTTGCATCTATTTGCAAGTAAGAACCTGCAAAATGTTTGCCTTCTAATGTCACAGGTGTCTTTATACTCAACATTTAAAAAATAAGGCTTTTGAAAATTGATATGTGGCAGTCTTCAGGAAACCATTTTTTGCTGAGTGTGCATATATATTTACCCCCTTCTTAGAGTGGACCCTCGCTCCCACAGCCGCCCCCTCTTACCAGAGGAGATGGACAGCATCAGACGTATTCTCTCCAGAAACCTTCAAAACTTCAACAACAAGGTAAACTTCACAGCTTTGGTTTTCATTTTGTTTTCTTAAGGAACGACTGAACATGCTCAACAGTCATGTACTTTCTCTCTTCTTCTTTGGGCTCATGTGTGTTGTCACTCCAGCAGACGCCAGCGTACAGCAGACACACTTTGCACCAGGACGCTAACAGGGACAGAGTGAGGAAGTCTCTCCACAGACACCAGAGTCTGGGAGAGAGATACACCTTCACACAGGTGCTATAAGTAAACTCACAACTATACATGTGCCTATCATTATATTCCTGATTTGATTCACTTATTGTATCAAATAAAAAAAGATTAACATAGAGGATTATGTTTTAGAGGCTTTAGCTAAAAAATGTGATGATCTATTTCCATCCTTGGGGCAAATAAGCAACCTTAAATATATTCTGTAAGAATTTTGTGATGTCCTTTCAGCTTATTTCTATGCCTTATATTCATCACAGCACTCAATGAAAAGTAAGATATGTTTGTGACAGAATTTGAGTGTCACTCTTGAAAAAGTAAGATGATTTTTGTGTCAAGAAGATAGAAAGTATCCATGCATTTAATACTCAATTTATTGATCCAATTGATTTAATTGAAATGACTTCTGACAGGATGTAAAGTCTTCTCACTTTCACTCACACAGTGTTCATTCTCCACTCTGTGATATGTTTTAATGTGTGCTTTTATTGTGACAGGTGGAGGAGGCAGAGTTCAGTGGCTCGCATAGAGCAAGAAAGGGGCTCAGCAGGTCTCACACAGGTGAAGTTACTGTTAATTAAAATCCAGAAAAACATAAATTACACAAAATATGTAGATTCACCATCTGTTTTCTAACTTCTATCACAGACAAAGCACCCAAAGAAGCATTCATGTTGTGATGTTGTGGTTCTTTTTTCTAAGAAACTGTTGTGAAAACAGAAAATCCCTCATAACAGGCTGGAGTATGGAACTAGACAATAAGTGATTCAAGCAATTTTTTACACAATTTAAATTCTGCTCTCCACTTCTGTATCGTCTTTCAACCTCTGTGTCCTTGCAAAGTGCAGGTGAAAACAAAGACATATGTCCCCAGGATAACAAAGTTTTGTTGTGTTGTTGTTGTTGTTGTTGTCGTCAAAGTGTTGATGTTGATGAACGCTGGTTGGGGGCCCCCTGTGACATTTTGCCCAGGGCCCCCAGAGAATCTAGAGTCGCCACTGCAGGTTGTCCGTTGTCTCCCTCTACTGTCTGATCTGTGACCATGACAGCTTAGGTTTGACTACCCTGACTTAGCTGCTCTTCTCTTGGCAGTGTGCTCCATTAGCCCGCTGGCTGTCCTCCAGGAACCATCAGTCCCAGCAGCTTCAGCTCGAACAACTATTCTAACATCTTCTCCTGCTGCCAGGGAGGAGCAGAGCGCTGCACAACACCAAACATCTGTGGGGGGAGCTACTAAAAAACAACTTAGCTTTGTTTTGGAGAACGAGAAGCAGCAATGAGTAGAACCTTGGGGAAAAAAAAGAAGTTATTCAGAGAGTTTTGTAATTTCAGGCTCTATAAAGTGATGCCCTGTATTTATTAGCTATAGAGTTATGGATTTCAAGAGTGGTTGATAAAAGGCTTTGGCAATTTCACGATAGTATTTCAATTAAAACTGTTAAATGAATGAAATAATTCACCCTCTGGTTTATCATTCTGAGTGGTTGCCACCTTCAATAAAGCTCCTTGATTTACCTCTGAAACACCTTTGCTGGAGGTTTGAGGGTCATTTGCGTCTCTGGTCTAATTTATTTTCAAAGTGGCGCTCAAAGTGTAACACGTACCCCAGAAATACCTTACAGCCATAAATACTGATACTCACTGTCTATTTAATAAGCACACACACACCACTCATGCCTCTCCTTGTTTCCTTCATAAATGCTCAGCACAATCCCTGTAATTTGACAAGGACAGGCTGACTGCCTCCTAAAATAACTTGCGTTCCCCCCCCCGCCTGACCCCCTCAGTTACTGGAGCTTCTTTTCCCCACAGCTCCCAGCATGCCGGGGAGTGGTCTGGGGAGGGGGGTGCAGGCTGTTTGCTTTGGGACTGGGGCTGGGCAGAGGGCTGCAAAGTGGACACCAGTGAGGAGCTGAGGATCGACTGACCTGGAGAGAAAGAGCGCAGTAAACTGGAATTATGAGGGTGGGAGCAGCAACCTTGGCGGGGGGCATATTTGGAGTATTAGGGACTCTGTGTTTCTTCGTAGCTTTTGGTACAGACTATTGGCTGGTGGCCAGTGACAACTGTGGGCTGCATACATGGTCGACACAGACAACACTGACAGGCGATAAAGATGCCAATGGGACAGAGGTAGGACAGAAAACATTTGAAAACACACTGTGTGCACTAACACAACCATATAAATCCTGCAGTCAGAATTACCACAGATGTTCATAATAATCAACATGTTATGTTTGTCACTAAAACAACACATGCAAGAACCACAAAAAGACCAAAGAGGAACCAGATCATGACGTGTAGACAGTAGCTCGCACGCAAAACCACAAGAGGATATTTAAAGAGGTGACTGACACAGAAGTAAAGACTTTCACTTTAAACTAACTTTTAATTGAGTAATTGTCAATATGGGTTTGGTTCACAAAACAATAGATCCTAAACTTCTAACCATACAGACAATACATTTTATTTTAAATTAGACGCTCTATTTCTGGTAAAAGTGAATGTATTTCGAACTTCACAACCCAGTCTGTATCAAAGGATTTTTTATTTATGCAAGAAAATACGATTCTTTAGCCACGCTGATATAAAGAGCGAAGCTTTGGGCTAAACACAAACGACAGCATGCTGACAGGCTGATGTGAGGAGGTGTTTACTTTGTTCACCATCTACATTTGGTTTTTTATTTGTATTTGATCATAAATATACTTTTAAAAAGTACAACTAACTGACGTGAAAACATTTCATCAACAGTTGTTGAGATATTTCATTCTGGACTAAAGAGGGCCACCCACCATGGTGACTTTAACCCTGGTGGTCCAGAAGGGAAGGTTTCTTTGCAACCCTTTTGCTTATTACTTTTGTGTACAAAATCACCAGGGTTATTTTACCAGACTTTACAAAACTACACCTTTCAGACAACTCTTTCCACAGGCAGCACAGAATGCAGTAAAGTGTAAACTCATGTGAAACGCTCCTTCAGCTTCTAGTTTAGTCCTGTGCTACGTAGTTGAAAAAGTTCACAAAATGCAGAGTAAGGGATTTACTTCTAAAGCTAATCCCCCAGTGAACTCCTCCCCGACATCACAGCACAACAAAGTCTTTCATTTCCAATGAAAGAGGATGATTAAACTTGTGTTTTTCAGCGCCATCAATCATATTTTTGACAGGCAAATGGAGAGTATCACTCATGCGTGTTTCATAAGTTCCCCCTGAAAACCCCACAAACGAGCAGGCCATAATCAGAACCACGTTTGATGCCATAGCGCCGCTGAAGTACAGAACCACACAGAGCAAAGCTGACGGAGAGGTTCATCCATCCGCAGAAACTCGAGTGTCCATCCCTTTGTTTATTTTTCTGATGTCAGTCTGTCTCTCTTTCTCATTTTAGATCCAATTAGTGGAAACCATCACCGATTCTCCTCCAACACTAACTCTGCACCACGAGGGCTTCTTCTGGCGGTGTGTGTTTCAGGTGGAGCCCACGGCACATGCGGTCCTTGCCACTCTCTTCAGTATGTAGGCGTTGTATGTGGGCAAAAAAGTTTTGGTTGGGGCTTGTCCAATGTGTTGCATGTCTTTGACTTAGACACATGGTCTGCATAACATGTTTACAAGTGGAGGAAAGAAAAATTACTATCATTTGGATAGTTGACAGAAAATATTCAGGACGGGAGAAAGAGGAATGTGGTTTCATGTGTTTCAGTATATGATGTGTTTTGGCTTTCTGTAATCTTGCTTCATGTGGTGTTTCTTATTTTCCATGTTTTCTTTCATTGACAGTACATCATATGATTTACATTTCTAGTTTCAGAACCCTTTCAAGCTTCTTCTGAGCCCTATATATAAATATATGTATATCTAGATCTTTTATATCTTTTCTTTTTTTTTGTGCATAGCAAACCAGCCAGAATCCAAGGTCTGTATCCATGGTTACCTCTTCCCTCTGCCTGTTGCACTTGGACAGGTGCCTCATCCAAGCTATGACGCTACAGCAGGTAATGCACTCACTCACAAACCAACAAACAAATGACAAACCTAATACATTTATCACGCACATTAAACCAAACTGACAATCCACATTTGAATATTTACAGAGACAATTACAAATAGTTCTTCAATGAACACATTATACACAAACAGTGAGACGCTGCAGGGTCATCTACATGATTGGGAGAAACAAAACCATTTTGAGGATGTGTTTATACTTTTTTCTTCATTGCTCATGCAAACAAGGGTTAAAGAGTGTCAGAAATACTGAGGTCATGAGTCAAGTTTGTGTAAGCCCCAAGCAGCAACCTCTGGTGTTGAAAATGAAGCCAATGCTGAAGTGTAAAATCCTGCAGTTTATCGAGTGTCTGCTTGAGGCTGTCTCCAAGAGCCCCGGAAGTCACAAACACACCACATTCATGAAAGACAGTTTTAACAGAAGACACATCCGTTTTGATTTAATGAACGATACGTGTTATCCATAGTTAGGTACGTAGCTGACCTGATTAACAACGTGTTGTCAGGAGGCTTAAGAGTGGTCAGCTCCAGCTCTCAGCATGTCGTTAGGCTGACTGAAAGTTAGACTGAGACAGGATTTCCAGAATGGCGGCTGCTGCTGATGAGCCTCCAGAGCCCCCTGCAATAACAAATGGCTGACGTCACTCAGGCTTCCTCCATCAATATTTACAGTCTATGGTAACCTCCTTTAGAGAATACATTTTGGGGTGTACATTTACACTCTGTAGTGCCTCTTTGTGAAGAGTAACATGGGGGGATTGATACCAATCTTAAATCATGATAAAGAAGTCTTAAACCTTGAATCTGCTCATTATCTGTTAGCCTAGCTTGGCAAAACAACTGCAAGTGAGGATGTATGGATAGCCAGGTTCTTTCTGAAAGTGAAAAATTACACCTATCATCTTATGATCACATATTCACAAATTACACTGCTTGTCATTCACCCAGCTAAGAGTCCAGTTATTATCTTCTGTTGAAACCTGTTGAATAAAAAATACTCTAATATTTACTTTATTCTGGGCTAAAAGCTAAAAAAAAGTCATTCAATTAATGTCAACTATTTCTGTATTGTTTAATATAACTTCCTTCAGAGTATTAAAATTCCTTAAATTAACAAAAACATAAAAAGAACACGATGTCACTATCATGGATTATAGTAACCCATGTGCTACAGTCATCGAGAAGTTAGTGCTCTGATGGTGTCCTGGTTTTATTTCTTGCAGTGTTCCGAGGTTTCTGGACCGTGCTGATAATCCTTGGCCTGGTTGCAGCTCTCACTGGAGGCTTCCTCTTGGTCTGTGGTGTTCCCTTCATCAGCCACAAGCTGTACAAGCTGGGTGGTGCTTTCCTCATTGCTGCTGGTAAAATATAGCCCTATGTGTGCATGGGTGGAGTTCATATCATTCATCTGCAGAGTCAAATGTTGCTGCCAGGGGATACAGTATATGTGAGTGTACAGACACAAACACATGTCGCTGTCAGCTGTCAATACCTGTCACATGACAAACACATATCCAACACACAGAGCAGCAGATGTCACTCTGCAACACTGTCTCTATAACAACAGCAGGTTTAAACAGCGCTACCGTGGTAACAGTAGAGATGGGTAGGAGCTGCATTCCTCTGGTGTTACTCACAGTGATAGTCTCTCTGATACTCTCTCTGTCGCTCTCCAGCCTGCCTGTTCCTGTTCATACTTCTGCTCTTCGTCCTGTGGATGGAGGTGACGGAGGTGAGGCGCTACGTCATGCAAGAGAGAGGCGAGGCCTGCCCGGATGCAAAGGTGTCAGTCCTCTATGGTCTGTCATTCATGGTGGCAGCTGCCGGCGTGCCTCTGGAGCTCATCTCTGGGATGGTCTTCATGCTGGTGGCCCGTGCATTGCGTGCCAGCAAGTGAGCCCTCCACTTGCCCCGTATGGGTTAAGAAAAGACTGACCTTTCTATGTCCTGCACGGGGACTCAGCTGCACATTTGTGGGGATGTAAATACTATCTGTAACGACATGGTCGATATCACAGCACCACCCTTTGGGCAGTCTGAGACACCTAATTAGTTTATCTGTTTCTATAACTGTCTTCACTTGATTTTTTATAAATATCATAAATGATTATAGATAAAATACCACAATGAGTCAGGGTTAGATTTAAATTGATTAATGGTATTATACAGAGAAATATACAGTGTATTGTGCTGAGACTGTTTTTTGTAACAATGGTAAAAATGTTTCTTCTACTAAATTGCATCCATACTGTCATTCTTCTTATTTTCATTTCTATTGGTGCAGCTTTAGAGAGCTGAAGATGAGACATGTCTGTGTAGGTTCTCAGTCAACCAGGTCATGGTAAATCAATGCCTGATCCAACGGCAAGTGGACTGAGAAAAAGAGAAATGTATGGATGAACCAGCTGTGTCCCCTGTCCTGATTTTGGCACGTAATCAAAGTGAGCTAGCTGGAGCAGAGTGAGGTAGGAGGGATGACTGGCTGGATGGACTCGAGACAGAAAGAGTAGGTTTGATAGAGGGTGGGGGAGGGGGTGGAACAGGAGAGGGGCTCGATATAGGGGGGATAGAGAGTGAATTGAAGCCTGTAGGGGGGCACAAGGGGGCTTTGAGAAATGAACAGCTGTTTGTGGGTTTGGTTGGTGTACAGCAGGCCAGCCACCTGCCTCCATTACCCCCGTCACATTTCACTCCCTTGTTGAAATCCTAATGCTTTCTCCTTTTTTAATGCTTACAGGACTTTAAAGTCAGACATTCAAACGCCCCTACTCTAATAGATAATCCACTGACAGTCATCCATCGCACACAGAAACAAAAAGACCCATTCTATCCTTTCTTCGCTGTTATCCGAATGGAAGCACAGACTTGCGATAGCATCGTAACGGCCACAATATTAGATCATTCTCCTTTTTCATCGGTGTGAATGGGCAGCGTGTGGAGACAAGCGGGAGGACTCTCAATCACACATATCAGCTTTCATCTGCTTTACTGAGGAGCGGGAGTCTACGAGGAGCTGGGGGGGGGCATATTTACTTCAAAGATATAATTCATCAAACACATAATATATAATCAGTCACAAACACACACACACTTGTGATTATAAAACTACCCTGAAGACCACATAGCTGATAATATATTGTACATGTAGTGTATATTTACTACACACACACACAGCTGATCCTACATGTGACTTCTGTAAGAAAGCAAACGTTAGGGTGTAACACTGTAATATGGCACCATAGCCATTAAATGCCAAAGGTCAACTGAGTTTACTGTATCGCCTGTGATGTCAGAGGATACCCTCTATCGTTTGCAAAGTGTAGACGTGTGTTTCTTTATGTTTGTGATGAAAACTCTAAATCACAATCACAATCATAAAAAGCCTATTTAGATTATTTTCTGTCTTATAGGTAAATGTTGAACGAACAGGGTTAATGTACGATGGATTATACTTTAATGAGTGTTTTTATTAACAAATTACATAGAATAAAGATGTATGAACATTTATCTCAAGGAAGAATATCTCAGCCTGTGTCTGGTATCACAAACTAACAGACCTTATAGGCTGATCATATTTAATATCAGTGTTAACTTCCACAAAGAAAACACAACACTCCTGATTTGCCAAACTGCAAGATTCACAAACGGACAAAAGCACAAATAAGGTCAATAATCAGAGCAGTCAGAGTAGATTTTCTGTTTTATTCATCTCAGATATGTTTAAAGTAAATATAATAACCTGAACTTTAGCATTTTCTTCATTTAACAATGTGTCATTTACAAATCCAGTCTTTTCTGAGGAGACTTTAAAATCTGGATCATTCCGAGAAGTCAGAACATTTTTCATATAATATGAGAAATATTCATGTTTATTTTAATTCATAAACACTGATAACAACAGACCTATACATGTGTAAACGGCCTGTGCATGAACCGTGAAATTGAGCACTCAGAATCATTTTCAAAAAAGTAAGTGAGGAAAGACATAAAGTGAACGTGAGCTTTCTTCAGCTGATAAAGTGCAGTTCAAACTATTGACTATAACTCAAACAGGAACAATAGCACTGAAAAGAGGGCTCATTGAAGTGAATGGAGTAAAAAAGGGAAGTGTTCAGGTGAAACCATTTGTTGTAACACACACTGAGTCGTACCACTGGTGCATTAGTCAGCACTGTTACCTTACTGCACATGTATCGTTATAGGAACCTCGCTCCTGAAGACTTTACACCACAGCTGGGTAACTCTGGTCACCAAGAAGAAACTGATCCTCACTGCCAGACGGACAAATTGTTACACATTGTAAGAATCTCTCAATTAAACAATCATAACTACTCATAATTTAACTAAAAGAAACAAAAACATATATTTAATCAGAATTACATTTTACAAACATTAACTCAAATGCAAATAGTCACACTTAATTTAATGAGCTAGATACAGAATTCAAGAATTGAACAGTTATCAAAGGGTATTTAACTTCCTCCAAATGCATTTAGTAACACTTCAAACAAGAGTTTTACAGAAACAATAACAGTGAACAGTTAGTAACTATTTCTTGACAAAACCATCTAAAACATAAGCTGGTAATCACAGATCACCAATCACAATGTGTCTCATGGTGTTGTATTGGCAACTCTAGTTGAAATCTTTTGTGGCGTGTCATTCATGTTTACAATCTCTGATGTTCTTGTGGGCCACACTGAGTAAGGAGAGTGGGCCGCATGTGGCCCCCGGGCCGCCAGTTGCCCACCCCTGCTTTACTCCCTTAGTGAACCTTTTTAAACTACCAGAGAGGACTACGTCAAAGGTACAGTCTCAACCAGCATGGGGTTAATGAGAAGCCAGTGGTGTAATGTCACTAAGCCTTCTTGTAGCTCGGTTTGGGACTCTCTTACCTACTTCAGTCCAGGACGCCTCCCATTGGACCGTTCAGTGAAGCAGCTGTGCATTGTTGGTTTTGAAGTTGTTGAGACACAAACATGCAGTAAAGAGTGAACTATTCCCTTTCTTTGAGCCTCACCAGTCAGGACTATATGTACAAGTTGGCGGCCCCTGTTTCTAAATTCATGGGGTCTTTGAGTCTTTTTGGTTAAACCTCATGAGGATTATGAAGATGCTCAAAATGTAGATTTATAGGTGAAATTATTTATTTTCTAATTGAGCAGGTAAAGCAGTTAAAAACATTATACTAAGGCCACACTTTTAAAATGGCTTCATATGTAGGACTGTTTAAAGTATATGTTTCTCTTAGTAGTACAGCTTCTCTAAACAGGGGCGGTGCTGACTGTATGCATGTACAACATTTACTACTAATAAATACATTGGAAACCACAATAAACTAGGCCAAGCTATACCTAACAGAAAAAAGGCAAGTTGTTGTAGACTCTCATAGAAAAAGAAAAAAGAAGCAGCTTCTTTTATCTTGTCTCTGAAGGGATTTTAGTAGACTTGTGTCAAGGTCATCTCTGTCTGCTCTGGATGGAGCCTGTAGTCCAGGGAGATTACAATGATAAGTCTAACAGCTCTCGCCATGTTTTCTTTTCATGTGTTTTACATATAGGCTATGTCTTGTATATATTGCTTGGGGTTTCATTTATTTTTGGATTACAAAGTTTTAGACAGTTTTTTTTTCCTCATTCTGTATGTGTCCATTATTCTATATCAGTCTTTAAAAAAGCGTCTGATCTAAGCTTATTCTTCAAGGTGTCAACGACTCCACATCTATATATAACTCTCGTCCTAGCATTACTACATTCAACCAGCAGAGGGCTCTCCAGCTCTCCTCTTCAAAAAGAAAATCTCTCACGCGTGGATGGACGGAGGGAAAACATGAGAGGGGGAAGTGAACGGAGAGGAAAGGAAAGTGAAGGAGAGGAAAGTAAAGGAAGCAATTACTGAGCCGAGTACTGAGCTAGAACCCCGGCTTGTTCAGCGACTGTAGCTCTTCCTAATCATAGTTAATTAACTCTTATGTCTCCTCCCCTGTCATCCACAACAATGGAAACACACTATCACTCAATTTAAGGAAGAAATAATCTCGCACTTGAAGTGTCAGCAATTATGGCGTTAATGTTATGCATATGGCATGGCGAGCATCATGTGAATAAAGACATGACATGATAATAAAGTAATAAATGCTTTGCAAATTAACCCCAACAGACCCAAAGAACCCAAAGAGCATACGTCTTGTTGATTAGGGGTAATGAGTGTGTATTGCATGTTTCTGTGTGTGTGTGTGTGTGTGTGTGTGTGTGTGTGTGTGTGTGTGTGTGTGTGGCTGTATAATGCCTACATCTGTATTTTTCAGGCATGGCGGCATTATACGCTGTAAATTGACCACTATTTGCTTAAGGTATGTGACATGTCGGACAGCAAACAGCAGGATGTGGCCTCACATGAGGTAAGGGAAATTTAACCCTATGTAGACCCCTTACCTCTCTGAGCACCTGGACTGAATACTGGTGGGCTCTAATCCAGTAAGAGAGGGGGATACTCTTAGTAAGAGCTCTTTACTTCCATTCTCTAACCCGCTAACTCTACTGGTGAGCCGATTACCTGCTCTGCGTGTGAGCCACAGGCCACCAGACCCCGAGCATGGCTCTTTGTGTGTGTGTGTGTGTGTGTGTGTGTGTGTGTGTGTGTGTGTGTGTGTGTCTGTGTGTGTGCGCATGCAAGCTGGGCCAGACGGTAACGGTTCTTCCCTGATAAAGGTTTTTTTTCTCCTGTCAACGATGACAGATAATAAGTGCTGATATGAAAGAATAGAAAGCCTTATGGCATCACTCTTGCTTTTATTGTTTCTTTTGTTACACCAAAAATCCCTATGAACCCCCCTCCAAACACACACACTTATGTACACACAGGCTGCTAATCTGTATTTTGCACGGTAGTTGAGGTGAGGAGGGAGCAGTTTTGCCGATAAAGAAGAGTTGCTATGAGTGTGTTTCTTTTCTAATTTTGTATACAATGTGTTATTATTAATTCAAACTTAACCCCCCCCTTAAACCCCCATGCACACACACACACACACACACACACACACACACACACACACACACACACACACACACACACACATGCACTGTTTGTGCAGACATATCATGTCTCAGACAGTCAGAGCTCCTGCCTC